ATTTACGAAAAGTTCTTTCACTGTGTGAAAAAATTGTCCAAACGCATACGTTATAATATTATTCGATTTAACACTGCTACATTTGCTAAATATATTTATCAAAAAGATCATGTCATCACATAGTAATTTGTAAAATATAGAACATCATTTTATGTCTCTAACTAAAATTAGTTATTACGATAGGAAATTGGCTCACACATAATTTCTACAGAATAAGATCATATCTTCTTTCTTTTGATCGATGGAGCATCTATTTTGAGACCTTCGTCTTAAGACTATCGGATTATTCCGTAAGACGGTTTACATTCTGCAGTCACTGCAAAGGATAATGTTTCAGCGATGTAATACTATGCTAAATACGCTTAGTAACGCTAACATAATCCCGAGATATTCAGATCTTGGAATAGGAAGAATGTTTTAGATTGCCGGAGAGACAAACCTTTTGTTGTAAGTAATATGCTTGAATGATAAATCAAGAAAGTAAGCCATTTATAAACTCATCCTTGTTTCATATTTCGTCTATATTAGTTCAATATTCTCCTAGCTCGAAGAAATCAATAATTTTTACAATTTTTTTTATTTGACGTAATACCTTAATACATTATTTGTACAAATTCTTCAATTTTTTTTTTTTGATTTTTTATTAATTTCTTATTAATAAATTTCTTATTAATGTGATATTTAATTTTTTAGATAATATGAATAATAATTAATTCGATTATTACAATGATTAATTTACTTAAGGCTATCGGATTATTCCGTAAGACGGTTTACATTCTGCAGTCACTGCAAGGGATAATATTTCAGCGATGTAATACTACACTAAATATGCTTAGTAACGCTAACATAATTCTGGCTAACATAACTATTTATATTTATTTTTATTTTTATTTTTATTAACATTAATTAATCTTTTTTTTGTACGTGCGCGCAAATAAATCTTTATTAGTTTTAAATTTGTACTTACTTTGCACTATCGATTAACTTAAAGTTTTATTAAATCTATCAAAAATATATCTGTTGTTAAAATTGTAATATTATATTATCTATCTATTATATATAGTTTATGAAAGAAAGCTTAATTAATTACATTATTAGCGTTAGTATAATTTTATTTTATATTTTTTTCTAATTTTTATAGTAGTGCTATGAACACTATTAAAATTTAGTAGTGTTCATAGCACTATTAACTTGTGCTAGAAACTTAGATGATTATATTTAAACAGTTTTTATATATTTATTAATTTTATGAGTCATTTCTCATATATGCTATCGCGTTTTTCCAATAAGTAAATATAAGTCCTATGCATTTCATCAACTCATCATTAATAAGCCACATAAAACGAGCGAAATTATATCAGATGTTAAAAGCTTTGTACTTTTTTCAAAGTACAAAGGAGCCTCCGCGGATGGCGTGCGTTTTTTTTTTCGTTTTTCTTTTGTCTGATTAATCCTACTTGCAAAATGTTCCCGCACTTTGTTGCTTAGGCTTTTGCATTTCTGTCCCGTATGGCTTTAAGAATTATATATTTTTTCCTTTTTTTAAATAAAATTGAGTTAAACTTCCCATCAACCTACGAGAAATTTTCCCGTCTTTTTTGGTCCTTCTAATTTTTCATCAGCCTTACGATTAGTCTTTACAAGAACAGCGTCACCATTTTAAGAGAAGTGCTCTACTTAACTTTTTATAATGTCTGATTTTCCTCATGTAAGACTTTCATCCATAGTTCCTTGATAGTTGCTATCTAATTGCGTCATCTTATACGATGCATACTTTATCATTGGAGGATCTTTCTAGAAATTTTTTTAATCATTAAACAATCAGTTATTATATTTTTATCATTATATCTTGTAAAGAAAATAAGAAGAAGAAAAATAAAGATATTCATTATCCATTGAAGCTTTATATAACAAAAAAATAGTAAATTATTGGAATATTAAATATAGAAAACGTGTACATAATATATATAACATATAAACGTGCACATATATTCATTAAAAAGGAAAAAAGAAAAAAGATGAAAAAACAAATAAAAATTTATATGGTTGCGATAATTTTGAATTTTATATATAATAGTAGATTGTTATTAATCACAATATAATTTGTAGAAATAAAAGGAAAGAAATGACTTTATTATTTGATATTGAAATTGCTTAAAGAGATTATGCAGTTTAATTTCTTTATGAAAGCAAACATAACTCGAATTGAAAATACAGAAAAGAGAAACCAAGAACAGTGTTAGAGCATTCACTTTGTTACTTGCAGTTACTGGAAAATAGGTGGCACGGATGGAAACGCTTTACGACCTGTGGAAACTTCGTAATAGTACCGTATCGTTACGACCTCCTGCCCTCCGTTTCAATAAACTAATTGAACCTAAAACTTCTCAAAGCCACGTAAAGTCCTAGTCGAACAATATTCATCCGCCATCATAAAATACCACATTATAAAGTTGAAGTAAAGCTAGTGACATTTATTAGAAAATGATTATGAATAAAGATTTTAAATAATGTATCCACATTCTTTTTAGAGAGAATAGCATTCATAAAAGTTAACAAAGTTGTTGTAAAAGTTAATAAAAGAATACAAATCTAGTGTGTTATTAACTCTTAAATTACAAAATAATAACCGTCTAAAAAAGTCTATATTTTATTATTCACTATTAAAGTTTCATTGAAATTTTATTTTAAATTTAAGATTTTTATTAATAGAAGTATATAGCAATTTGAAAGTTTCTGAAATACATAAAAGAGAAAATATGAAACTACAGTAGTTTTATTTTCTTATCTTCTGAAGAAGATTACACAATGCTTTTGCAACAAAGAATTTCTAGCGAATACGCGCGTTAATTGAAAACGTTTTGAATTAAAACAAGTTGAAGAACAAATGCATTATTGAAATAATCAAATTACTTTGAATCTGCATTTAAAGAGTTTTAAAAAGAGAAAGAGAGGAGGGAAAGAGAGAGAGAGAGAGAGAGAGAGAGAGAGAGAGAGAGAGAAAGACAGAAATTTAGGATAATACATGTACGGTAATAGATGTGAGGTAAATTTTAACATTTTCGCATTAACCAATGTATTCTGACTGTTGGCGTTGAAAGTTTCTATATCTCGAGTTAAAGAGAGAACGTTATCCCGTCAATATTGCATTAACGAAAATTAAGCTTAAGTCTGTAGATTACACAAATTTATATCAGTTACGTTTTTAAAAATATATCGCGATGGAAGAAATATACAAAAAATAATAACACGTATACATATATATATATA